GCATACATCATGTCTGGCTTTGTAAGGCCCTGTCTCCACAGGAAAACACTGATGTCGTGATAACCATGTCACAAAATATATTTCCAATGGAGACCGTCTATTTCTCATGGGTTGCAATATATCGTCGCCTTGGTAAAAGATTGTCGTAAGAGCAATTTTGACGATTTTTAGTTTTAGATGCAGTTATACGCTTTTTTTCGATTGGTGTTATCAGTTTTTAGATATCTCCTTTAGTTTCCGAGATATTGACTACAGTTTTTTCGATAATTTAGTAAAAATTTAGTTAGTGATGCAGTCATATTAATATCTTAAAATTGGCGTTCTCCATTTTTGGATATCTTTAGTTTCCGAGATATTGAGTAAAAAGTGTAGTAAAATTAGTAGAAATTTTGATCACATTTTGTCGTATTTCATACAAAGTGGACAAAATTTTACTAAAGAAAATCCTTCAAAAACTCAGAACTAATTAACAATTAACAATAAAAATTAAATAATTTTGTGAACTAGTAATATTTTCAGAGATTTTGGAGAAAATCTATCTTCGCGTTTTTGGGAAATTGCATTCCAAACTTCAATCGCGATTTCTCACAATCTGCCGAAATTACATACGATAATCTTTTACCCAGGCGACGATATGTCAGCGCTTATTGCTGGACTTCTATTACTGGCAATTTGATAGTTTGACAGCCATATTTTCATTTGAAAGAAAGCGTGCTGGTGGTAGCATCGATGAAATTTTGATATTAAATCAAAATAAAAATCTGTTCCCTATTGGATTATTTATGATATTTATGATTACGTTTTATGAAATTATTTTAACATACTATAGGTACGTGGGTTTAAAATCTCCAGTAAAAACATCCTTCCAGCCTTCGCGAACGCAACTTCAATAATTTACAGGTACGCGAATGCAACTGATATGTGCGACAATCTGTGTAGACATAAAACGTAGAAATACACGATCTTACGGTCTGCGCATACCCTGAAAGTTCCGCGATACGCAGACTTGCCGGGTGGTGTGTTTTGAATATTACCAGAGAACCAAGCTAGGTGTGGCCGCCACTATTCTAATAATGCATCTGGTAGCACTTATGTAGTGACAGGTAATCAGCTGTTATTTCATAACCTGCCCAATCTGTGGGTGTGCGTTTATCTTGAAAAAATATAAAAAACAATTGTTTTCCTAGAAAATTTGAATTGACATGTTAAGATTAGGCTTAAGTAATCGAATATGTGGAGGGGAGCAAATCTTTTCTACATGGAGTCGGCTGGCATCGACGTCGCCAGCATCAGCGGCCCCATCTGCTCTACCCAAATCTACACGCCCTGACGATGAGTACATAGATGAAGCTGTTTATCCAGAAATACAGGACTTATCATTTAGAGCACGCAAAAAACGTGAGTCTGAAAGTTGGCATGAGGAAATTCGACGAGTACCCACTGTCGAAGAGAAGCTTATTAAGATTAATATGCCGCGGTATTACGGATACAAGGTGGTTAAATTGAGCGACTCTAAAGTACCATATAATTCCCTGCCTGCTATGCAACATTACACCCGTACAATTTATGAAGATATTAAAATTTCTGGCAGCTCATCCGAAGGAGATTTAAGCGGGAGACAGAAGGAGTATCTGGCGTCAATGAAAACTGATCTACAAGATGCGATTGAGTATATCTACGACTATTATGGGTACATATATTATTTTTTAGTATCTGTTCGTATTGTTTGTTCGTATAAATGAAAAAATAACTTTTTCTTAAAGACACGAGTACGGCGATAACTCCAACATAGAACCACAAGAACGAGAAAAGATTTTTGCCCGACTTATTGTTGAACAAGTTAACAGAACTCTTATCAATGTGTTATCCGCCGATTATGTTCATCTTCAAGAATTTGAAATCGATTATACTCCTAGGCATGAAGCTTCATGGTCAGTTGGTGGTATTAAACCACCAAAAAACGTTGTTAAAAGCATGGAAGGACGCGAATGGCAGAAATACATGGCGAATGATCCTTATAATAGATTTATGCAATATTCAGGCACGCCTTTTCTCGCTATTCGTCATCATAAACAACTTTCTCCCTGGAAGAATGAAACGGAATCGACCAATGCCGATCTAGCAAAAACCATACCTCGATTCAACTACGATCCACGTACTCTTGGATACGTTTCTGGACATCAGCATTTGACAAATATACCAGGTAGATCTGCAGAGATTGCGTTTCAATACTAAGACTTAATTCTTTAACTTTTTCAGGTTTTTGGCCCGGTTCCACAAATCTATTTGGAAATATTTCTTATCAATCGCGAGCTTTTCTACAAATAAGGCCTGATACATATGGAGTTGAGGATTTCAAAGAAGCTTTGCATGCTCATGCCATTCAGAGCAGCTATTCTTGGCTATTGGCACAAGCTTGTTACAACGGTTTCAATACTTTTAATGAACTTACCTATCCAATGAATACCCAAACGGTGCTGACTAATGGGCGGGATTGGTCATTTTACGAATACCAATTAAATACATTACTAGTGCATTCAAATCATGTTGATGATAATCCGCGAGTAAACTTCTGCCGTGGTACGCCGGAATTGCAACTGTATAGTGAAATAAGTGACACTGGTAAAGTTGTCGATTTAAATGAAGATGTACTAAGGCACCTAATACGCTTTTACGTGAACGTCCCAGTGTACAACGCTCTGAAAACGAGCTACACCCTTATTTGGGGCCAGATGTGAAGTATGTGGCCGATTATAAAAATGACGAGCAGCGACAATTTTTGGAACGTGTATTTAAGAACTTAATGTCAAATCGACCTCGTCATTTACCCCTTCCAGAAATCTACCTTTGGGAAAAGTCTATAAAATTGATAATAAAACTAGACAGATGGAAGCCAAACGTCGCTTCTTTGAGTTAGATATTAATCCTTGGGCTCGCAAATTGGATCAACATCAAAAGGAATATATACCACGAGCATTGCGCCCGGAGGGACCCAAGAGCAAAAAGAAGTGGAAACCAACTTTTTATCCATAGTTATGTGATAATTATGAAAAAATCAGTTGGTGTTGATTTAAATTAAAATAATAAAAATTGTCGAAAAATCATATTGCTACATATTGTGCCATTATACATGCATACATATATCGCACGTTTAATAATATAACGAAGTATTTCAAAATTTTAATTTTGTGGGAAAAGGCAATCAAAGTTTTATCAATTCATATAGTTGGTATACAAAAAGACAGATGGGAAAACACATATCTTCGCCATATTTGGGAAGTTTGGTTATCTGTTAGACTGAACATATAGTACTACTCATCAAGTTTATTAATTACATAACGAAATCTCCAAAAACGTAAATTTTGATTTACATCTCTATATTATTAAACGTGCGATGTATAATATATATATATATATATATTATGTATGTTACCTCGGAGGTGGTCCCATATTAATTTGGTTTAAATCCGATCATCGGATCATGTAGAAATTAACGATACTCTTAAATTTTTATATGAGTATTGAAATCGGTTTTGTTTTTTGCTTAAAAGTTACTTGTATGTATTACTATTTATTTTGCTCAAACAACCCAATAAACATTGGGCTTGGTTAACAATTCGGAAATGAACAACAAATCTTTTTTCGAGTCTCACCTTCGATATTCCTTGGAATAGGTTAGTATTCGATTCGAGAATTAGGCCATTCTCCAGCAAAACGGAACCTTGGTCATCCCATGTATTTTACCTTCGTTATCAATTCAAAATCCAGCCCATATCGAATTGAAATTTTAATGAGAGTGAAGAGAGTTTTCGGCACCTCTTTTTCAGCAGAAGCAAAACTTTTAGCCCCTTACTGTGACTGGCAAACATCTACATCGAATGTACTCGACTCTGGATACCAAAGTTTGAACTATCGTCAATAAAGGAGAAACTGGAAGCGGTTTTAGTGAAAAGCCGAAAGAAATCAGAGTCCGTAGAACCATTTCTGAGATACTTCGCCGACCTAAACGGGGTTAGATCGCCGAAACCACAGCCCTTGATCGGGTAAAACCCGAGTCATTCCGGTACGTAGAACCGGCTGTCGTGGGAATGGATAGAACCACAATAGCCCAACTTCGCTCTGGCTACTGCAGCAGGTTAAACTCATACCTGAGCAGACTAAACGCGGATATGTCAAATGAGTGTCCGGCATGCGGAGATACTCCCAACGACTCGAAACATCTCTTCGCATGCCCGGAAAGCCCGACAACCCTAGCGGCTTTGTCCGTATGGACCGACCCAATGTAGGCTGCACGCTTGTTAGGGCTGCCGTTAGTGGAACTTGACGACAACGACTGAGATATCAACCGATCTGGGCGAGGTTGTTGTAGTCGCTACAACAAAAACAACAACAACAACAACAGAGTCCGTAGAATGAATTGTTGGCAACGCGGCAATAAAATCAAGCCTGCATATCACTAGGAATGCTTATTGACAACAGGTTAAGCTTCCGACAACATGCGGAATATGCTACACATAAGGCATCGCAAGTTAGCAGTTCTTATCCAGAATGCTCCCTAATTTTGGCGGTCTAAGAAGTAGTAAAACGTTTCTGCTGTCGAACCTCTGAAGATGCGGCACATTTTATTGCAGAAATGATTCCGTTGGACATTCTCACGGTTGAAACTAAGAGGTTTTAGGCAAAAATCGTTCTACTTCTGAACTAAGGTTGAATTTGAGTTCACAATTCAAAAGCATTCAGAACTTATCTCAGTTGCTCTCCCTGAGAGAAAAACACAACAACCACATGACAGAAAAGCTCTCAACTAGAACGGTAAATACAAGTCATACAGGCCGAACATCGTCCCGCGGTTGCAACCAAAGTATGGGACACTAAACTTCCATTTAACGCAATTACTGAGCCGACATGGGGGTCTAGAAGATACACTCACAAATTTTGTCGCGACGACAGCAATACGTGTTCAGCATGCGATGCCCAGGAGTACCTAAAGTATGCGTTGCTCGAATGACCACACTTTGAAAATGAGAGAAGCAGACTAAACAAAGCTGCAGGAGAATATCTGAAGCCAAATAGTATTGTACATGCGATGATAAAATCCGAAACCGTGTGGAATGCAATATGCGATGCAGTTGTAAACATACAACGAAAGCTGCGTTACTTCCGAGGCTGAAGGTATCGATAACGAGTGAGCAACAGTAGGGGAGTAGTACTAAATCGCTTTCTCATATAACAACGTACTATAAAAAAATATTTATAATTCAACAGAATTGGTACTATACGCTTACCCTGAAGATCATTGCATTTACTGAAATAACATCCGGAGTAAAAATTATCCTACACTCAGTGGCGGATTTACCATAAAGGCAATATAGGCAGGTGCCTAGGGCGGCAAAATTTAGGGGCGCCAAAGTTTGCGTTGAAAAAAAATTTTATTTTTTTTTTTCAAGTGAGCTGCACTAAAAGTAGAATTTGTGTTGTACATTTTAAGACATAAATTTGAGATCCAATTATGCAATCAGATAATATGACAACATTGTTAGGTATTTTTGATATTATTTAAATGATAATTTAGTATTTTTGAGATTATAACTTATCAAGTGAAAAAACTTTGTTGATGATGGCTTTCTTTAAAAGTTGAAAACCTTTACTCAAGGCAAATACAACTTTTTCATCTTAAATTTGGGGTATTCACAACGGTGTCGTATTGTTGTATGTCGTAAACTTTAAAACCGAAAACCAAGTGATCTCAGCTGTAGGATTTTTTTTGGCAATCAGCTGTTAGTGTTTTTACTAAGGAAGTTGTACGATTGTATAAAATCTTCCGAATAAAACGAGATATTATTTTGTTTTTCAATTTTTATTGTGATATTTCACCGCAATCGAAATTTTATACTTTATAACTTATCCTAAATTATAGTACCGTTATTTCAATAACTTAGTATTTGCCCTCTGTTGTTTTACATGTAATTTAGCTTGTTGTTTGGTCTTATTGTTTTATACATCTAAACCACTGCACCAAATTTAAATTTGTGTTTTTTACAACCATAATTGTTTATGAATTTGTTTTTTTTTGTCGGTTTTTAGTTGATTGTTAAATTTCTTCTTTTACATTGTTCCAATTTTGAGATTCTTCAACTTTTGATTAGCTTGTGAACTTTTTTCGTTAGTTTTATACTGTAAGTGTTTGCTTTTTAAATAACTACATATTTACTTTTAAGAGTTCTTGTATTTTTGTTTTTATAATCGCCTTCTATAAGAGGTTTGGTGTTGAATTATTTTCTTAAATTTATGCTTATTCTTAGTTCATAAAAACAATTTGTTAAACTTACATATTTATGTGGCCGTGATTTTGGGTCAGATGTTTTAAATACATATAACTCGTAAAAAATTCTGTTATTAAATTTATTGTGTGGAATGCTAACAAATTAAAATTTATTTTTCAAATTAGCATACATACATGCACGAATACATACGTATTTACATATGCATAGAGTTAGAAAGATACTAATATGAATGATGGACAGCGACTTCACTCCTTCTCCACGGCTTCTAACTTTAATTCTGTCAGAAGTTATGAAGTGCTATCGCGGGCAAGCCTAGGCCTACAATCCTCAAACGTCTTCTGCACAACACTCCTCATAGAAGCAGACACTTCGGTGCTGTGCCCGGTTAATTAGTTGCATAAATCTTTCTTAAATCTCTTTTCACAAATTAAGGGTTTGCCTTGTCAGTCACCAGTCCGTGGAACTCGATCTTCTTTTAGAGAATTATGGTTCCACTTCTAAGATAGGGGCATTCGAAAAGTGCTACCTAGGGTTTAGGTCAGAGTTGGCCAGCGAGAGCTTTCATTTTGTGCCTGTCCTATATAAATTGTGCAGATAGCTTTTGAAAGCTTTGGCACGCGGGCCTATGAAGAGGCCCACTATGGTTTAGGTGACAACAAACTCGGGTAGGATTTTCCTATAAAAAAAAATCCTTGATAAAAGGATTGCAAATTGTCGGCGCAGCATTAAATAATACACAAATATTTTTAAGATATGCTGCTCTCCGGTTTACATAAGAGGCTGACAATGAATGCTCTAATTTTGCCTAAAAAATCATCTGCAAAAAAAATTAAAAAAATTACAGAAATTGAAGCAAAATTTATGGGGATATTTGAATGATCTAGGCGGCCATAAGTCAATGTTTCAAAATTTAAAGAAAATTTAAAAAAGTAGTCACATTCGATAGAAAACCATTCCCAGTGCGCAACGAACGTTCGCCGTTGACCGGAATCAGAATAAATATGTATTTTCATAGAGGAGGTAATGGCGCAATCAAGTGTTACATTTTTTTTTTACTCTTTTAACCAAGCAAAAGTTGAATTTAAAAGTTTAAAAATACCGGTTTTCAAAGAGAATCCCTTCTGCAATGGTTGTCGACTATTAAGGAATGTGTTGTACTCCCGGGATTTACTCCGATTTGGGATTGCCGTAGTTCTAACCCTGGTTGGAATTTTTCTTTACCATTAAACAAAGTTCGGCCAAATGGAAAAAAATAAACTTTTTCGAAAGTTCAAAATTTCACAATTCCCCGAAGTTTTCCAAGTTAACTTTTTTAATATCTTAAAAATTATTAGAGTTATTAAAACCGTTTATTTTTAAAGGTGGTATTTGGGACTATATAAAAAAATATTAAAAAAATAATAATTTATTCCAAACTCTAAATTTAATAAAAAATTTTGAACTTTGTGTAGTTTCCAAAAATTTTTTTTCAAAACTTCAAAAATTCATATCTTAAAAAAACACCTTGAAAATTTCAGGATCATTTAAGATCAGTTAAAAGCATTGTCCAAAAAAAAAAATTAGCCAAATCTTTTTACAAGTTTTTGCTTTTACAAGTTTTTAATTTCAAAATTCTCAAAATTTATGTTTTCTTTTATTTAACTTTTCTTGGTTCACTAAATGTCGCCTTTAACTGTAAATAATAGTTTTTGAAAGTATACTTAAAAAATCCGCAAAGTTTAGAGTTTGGCGGAGCTTTTGAAAAAAGCTTTATTTTTTACTTAGGTAGAAGTTCGTTATATGATAAAACCAACCAAAACTCATCCAAATCAAAAATGTTCCATTCCAACC